ACGGAGGAGGCAGCGCTCATTTCTGCCTTCAGTCTGACTGCGCGCCGGAATTTGCGCAGCGTGCGCGCTTATTGAATCTGTGTGTGTGCGCGCGGCACAGCTCCATGAGCCGCTCAAGTCACCGCGTCTTGTTATCGGCGCTATTTAAACCAATGTTGTAAAATTACTTCTGCCCAGCCCAGATGTGCTCACTTGTGCACCCGTGAGCCGTGGTTCCGCTGGAACGCGTCTGACCTCTGACAGACGCACTCTGAACTTCAGATCTTCAGCGCGCTGTTAATAGCCTGAATGGGAATCATTTCTTGATTTATTTTGTTACATCCACAATGTTCTGTGTGTGAGGTTTACAATGTCAGAACACCTGCATGAGACAGGTGTTAATTACAATCTGCCAGAATGACTCACCACCTTCAGATTCCTCCAACACCGTTAAAAATGATCAAATACGGAACATATCGGCGTGCGCAGGCCAGAGCGCTGAAGCTCGGCGCATTGTTATTATTATGAAGTTAGGGCACATGTGGAGGACACACACACACACACGCAAAATATACTTGTTTTCAATTACATTTATTGGGCCCTCTTACTTTTTCTTTGGCCCACCCACAAATGGGTTTCTGGCTACGCTAATGGTGACATCTGACAGACTTCTCTGAGCTCCGCAGCCATTACACTTTTCACCTCGCGCACCCCCTAGCGGCAGCTCACGCACCCCCGGGGTTGTGTGCACCACACTTAGGGAATCCCTGATCTAAGGAGATTGTAGAAACAACTAAAACTGGGTTAAGAACTGTCCATTGCATTATTAAAACTGGTCTGATGAGTCCAGATGGACCCTGTTCCAGAGTGATGGTGCATCAGGATAAGAAGAGAGGTAGATGAAGTGATGCACCCATCATAGCTAGTGCCTACTGTACAAGCCTGTGGGGGCAGTGCTATGATCTGGGCTTGCTGCAGTTGGTCAGGTCTAGGTTCAACAACAGGATGTGCTCCAAGAATGAGGTCAGCTGACTACCCGATTATACTGAATGACCAGGTTATTCCATCTTCCCTGATGGCACGGCCACATTCCAAGATGACAATGCCAGGTTTCATCGGGCTTCGGGTAAATGGCCGGTATTTGATATAGCACCTTCTAGAATCCTGTAGCCCCCCCCCCCCCCCCCCCCCCCCCAAGGTGCTTTACGACACAATCAGTCATTCACCCATTCACACGCTGGTGGGGCCGAGCTACGATGTAGCCACTAGCATTGTCACAATACTAAAATTTCATACTCGATTCGATACTTGAAAAAAACTCGATACTCGATTTTGAAACTATTTGAAAACACCAATTTATTGAACAAGTTTATTCAAAAAATAACATTCCTCAAATTATATTGCAAAAATTAAATGTTAAGAATTAAGTGTATTAAGTGCTTAAACCTTTCAAGTATCAGCATTTTTTAAAACGTGCATACAAAAACTGGCGAAAGTTAACACTTTAAATCATGAATTGTCTCACTATATATACACTATTTACAGAGTGATGTTTTGCTGCTTAAACTCTGTTTAAGGTGCATTTTTGTCATGAGATGTAATGCCATATGTTTTGTTCTGTACTTTTGAACAACTCTGTTGGTCAATAAAGGGAGAAAACGAATTTCTCCACAGTAGGACAAAGGTAATCTTAATAAAAACAGATTGGCGCACGGCAGTGATGTCATTAAAAGCGCCGGTTAGATTAGCCGCGGCTAGTCTGTTTACGTCTAGAAATTCCAGACCCGCTCCAAACGAACAGGGGGATCATGTTAATGATTCCTAACAAAACCTTTTGACATTGAGATGTTTTGGTTCAGATAATGTCTTATTTCGAGGCTGCACCATGGGTGCCCGTCCGCACCCTTTATATGGATATACCCTGACGGCGATTCGCCGATGGATCTAAATACCCCAGGGAATCCAAGTAGCAGAGGTGGAAAGACTACTAAAATTTCCTTCTTAAGTACGAGTACCAATACTTTGATAATTTTTTACTCAATTACAAGTAAAAGTACTTGCCTAAATGTTTACTCAAGTAAAAGTAAAAAGTATCGTAAACAAAATGTACTCAAAGTAAAAGTCACTTAGTTACATTTTTGTCAGTGTAAGGATGGCTACATCTAAGTAGTGCTAAATCACAACGCCAGTTCACAACACACACACACACACACACACACACACACACACACACACACACACACACACACACACACACACACACACACACACACACACACACTCAAACACGCACAGCTTGAAGGAGGGATTTCTATCCAATCAGTGAGAACAGGACGTGCACATTGATTGGACGAGGTTTTTCTAGGATGGTAAGTTTCAATTGTGATTAAAATTATTCTTTATTTTGAGAAAAAATTATTTTTTAGATGCCATCAGTATGTGAGGTATCTCAATGTTTTCATGACAAAACTCTAACATGAGACTGTGCTCTAACCTGTCACATAACAAGCTAAATGAAAGTCAAACATTTCAGATGGACCGTATGATAGCTGCTAACGTTGGCCCTGCCCTACTTTACCTCTACATTACAGTTCCTTTATCCATGTCCATCCTAGACCTCCTCTCTGACCTTCATGCGTATTTAGAGCAGCTGATTTTTAAAGTTAGCAGAGTTCATCCTTGGTAGTGGGTTCACTCACTCATTTAACCCTTCACCACTGAAATCAGTTTGTTCATTCCAATCCTCCTAAATAATCCTCCAATTGTCCAACTGGAATCCTTCCAGGTGTTACTAGAACTAACGGTGTCTCCTCACCAGCGTGAGCCTCCAAACTGTGAAGGTTGGACTCCAAACATGAACTTTAAATTCATGCATTTATCTCGTCTTGTAGCACATTAACATGTTTTAAAAGGCTTGTATCATGATAAGTTGCACCTCCCAGACCAAAGATAAGATAAAATATTATCATAGACACTGACGTCATTATTTATGAAATATAAGTTATTTTCCTGAGTCATTACTTCAGCCAAGATATAAGATGCATGGATTTGATGAAACCATGCTGTCTCATGCAGTCCTATATGTGTACACAAACACACACACACACACACACACACACACACACACACACACACACACACACACACACACACACACACACACACACACACACACACACACACACACACACACACACACACACACACACACACACACACACACACACACACACACACACACACACACACACACACACACACACACACACACCAGCATGTTAGAATCACTTGAATGACTAATTTAACTACAGTGAACTGCTTTGTAATAATTTAATCTCTTATTCTGGAGTAAAATAAAGAAACAAGCTAAATCATCACATATCTGTGGCATCAAGGAGCATCTTCTGAGTTCAAACACAGGGATGGAGCACAATGTTTACTCCTGAACAGTATCAGGATGTTTTAACTCACAGAGGCCTGCAGGTCTTCTGTTTGATGAGCAGAGCGCTGATAATCCGCTTGTTATGAGCGCTAAACGTTATTTTGCTGCTTCCATGCGGAGCGGTAGAGAAACACATTTCAAACACGGAACCGAGTCCGGCTACCGAACCGAGCAGATTTCTGATGACGTCACACCGGTGCGCGAAGGTGCGGGTTCCAACCCACAGGAGAGAAGAGAGAGAGGAGGTAAACAGCGAGTTGATCGACTGAACTGATGTCTTTGAGCAAAAGACGCGGTGATCATGCAGGTGTCTCTTTCTGTTCCGACGCTGCAACACGTAAAATTTTTAATTTATTAAGCCTATAATTTATTTTTACTCAGTAACGGATATCATTTAAAATGTAGTGAATTACAATTCTTTTTTAAAAACTTACTCAAGTAAAAGTAAAAGTACAGCTTTTAAAAACGACTTAAAAAGTATAAATATACAAAAAAGCTACTCAATTACAGTAACGTGAGTAAATGTAATTCGTTACTTTCCACCTCTGCCAAGTAGCACCAAAGTTGTCAGCGTGAGTAAACAAACGTACTGCATGCTAGAAATTAAGTCCGGGTTGCAATAAACAGGAGTTTTCCTTTAAGCACATAAGCGTGAATATAAAACTACGTGTCGGACTTGGTATGCTAATTAAGTTGGGCTGTGAAGCGCCTCCCAAATTCGCTGTTTATGTTTTTGTTTATTTATTTGGCAGACAAAACTTGGATCGGAGACAACTCGCGTGGGAAATTGCAATGTAGCCATGCGGCGTCTTCTTCTTCTGTTTGTCTGGGAGGCGGAGGCTGCTTTACGGCATCTGGCTGTCGTGCGTGTCGGTGTACTTGAAGAAGGCTGTGTATAATAGTCCATAATATCGATACCACAGGGATGGAATATCTCATTTAGATACCACTTTTAGTATCGATTTATATCTGGGTATCGATTTTTTTGACAACACTAGTAGCCACAGCTGCCCTGGGGTGCTTTGACAGAGGCGAGGCTGCCGAGCACTGGCGCCACCGGTCCCTCCGACCACCACCAGCAGACAATGTGGGTTAAGTGTCTTGCCCAAGGACACAATAACAAACTGAGCGGGGCTCAAACCTGCAGCCTTCCGATTACGGGGCGAGCACTTAACTCCTGTGCCACCGTCGCCCCAAGGGAGCATGAGGCAGCATTTTCACGCATGGATCAGCCACCACGGTCCAGACCTCAACCTCATTGAGAATCTTTGTGATGTGCTGGAGAAGGATTTGTGCAGCGGTCAGACTCTACCACCATCAATGCAAGATATTGGTGAAATATTAATGCAACACTGGATGGCAACAAATCTGGTGACGTTGGAGAAGCTCATCGAAAGAACACCACTGCGAATGTGTGACGTAATCAAAGCTAAAGGTGGTCCAACGAAGTATTGGAATGTGTGACGTTTTTTGGATGGCAGCTTTTCTTTGGGCCAGGCAGTGTGTATAAATAATATGAAGTAATAAGGAAACATGAACTAAACAACTGTAGTGACTTTAAAAAAGAACATAAACTCACAATGTCATTCTTGTCGACTCGTGTTCCCACGATCTTCAGCCGGATCTCATCATCTTGCTGGATTACAATGTCCTATAAAAAGTAAGAAGCATCAACAAAAGTGTGATAGAGCAACATTTACACATTAGGAAAAAAAAGCAGAACTTTTTACATGCTGAAGTTGATTTTTATTAATATGACTGTTTAAACTAGCAGCAGTAAGATAGAAAAGCAACAGATATTCAACCTCATCGCCAGTCTTGTAGCAAGGTGGATTAGAATTGGGGTCGAACTCCATTTCTGTGGGGATGGACTGAAAATAAAAATATGATCAAAACAACATTAAATAAATAATGAAATAAAAAGATGATTCTAGTGAAACCGATGCTTTAACAGACTTACATGGCGAGAGATGAAGCAAGACATGGGACCGATTTCTGTGAACAATCCAACCTGCAAGCAAACAGAAAAAAGTTAAAAAAGGCGAGGCGCAAACGTACTGGCATAACAATCCTCAATTTGTTTAGTTTTCACAAGCGTGAAGTTCTGCTAAAGAATTAAGATCTGCTACGAAGAACAATGACTAAGAGATGAGTGAGCCATACCTTGTTAACCTGAGTGACCACAGCGTCCACCACCTCGCCCTTAAACGGGCGGAAAACAATGGCCTTGTACTTGACTGGATAGAGGACAAAACCTCTGCCTGGCTGGATGACACCCGCTCCGATGTTGTCGATAGTGGTTACTGCAATGACAAATCCATACCTGGGAAACAGAAAAAACAAAAGAGTTAATCCAACTTTTTAACAAGGCAGCAACACGTTGATCTAGTTATGCCATAGTCAATGTTTCATTAACGCTTTCAGTCGTTGCAAAGCCCAGTTAAAGTTATCATGAACAATAATAAAATGCTGTTACTCACTTGCCAGTACAAGTTCCCTCTACCTCTGTGAAAAGCTTCTGCTTCACGGTGTTAAGTAGATTGGGACCGAAGTACCTGGGGTGGAGAAGGATTTCATGCTCCAAAGAAATCTGTAAAGTGCAACAAAATCCTTCATCTGTAAATTGGTTGTGCACACGTTCGTATTTTAAAAATGCATAAACCAGCCTCTGTAGGTTGAGTAATGGATGAATAAAATGTCACGTTGATTAAAAATATGAAAACTAGTCCAGGTTAGAAGAAGAGGGAAAGACTACGACGTTGTTGATAAACGATCCAAATCGAAACATCCATTAAGCCTTCAGCTACCCCCGATTACGAGAACAATGTACATACTCACGTGATAAAACATTTCTTGATAAGTTTGAATTCCACCTTAAAAATATACTTTTAAATACGTCGAAGTGGCTTCTCTTGTTCTTTGTTGAAAGGGAATCATGGAGGTCCGGCGTAGAAGAACCTCTTCCGGGTCAAAGAGGATTCTTGAAATTTTGTTGTAAATTGTATTATAACGGGAAATAAAAAAAATAAAATTATCTTCAGGGATTTTTTAAAACTGTTTATTTAAAAATAATTAACGGAATAAGTAATCCGATTTAAACGAGTTCCACCGTCGGTTCATTTTAATACTGCCTTCTTGTGGCGAGGAAGTATTACTGCAGAGAGGCGTGGAAAACAATAGGCGTGACTGAAAGCCGCTCTGTGATTGGCTGTTTTTTAGTGGACTCTTATCTGACACACAGACGAAGCGAAAACAATTTATTTAGGTGAAAGTAATCCAACTTTAGCACAATCGTCATGTTGTTTAGCGGTCATTAGGACCACACTACAGGTGGTTTGAAGTTTTAAAGAACGAAATAGATTAAAATAAACAATTCTGCTACATCATTAGAAAGAAAATAGGAATTTTGTCTCCGTGGTTAAAATTACTCTCCAAGTCCTCCTTCTGTCATGGCGAGCAACCTCGTTTTCAAGTTGCTTCGTCTTCCTGTCACCTCTAAAATTGTAAGTAGCGAACCGTAGATTTGATTGTGTGTTTTGTTTATCTGACTCTTCGGCTGTCTGTGCAGGCGTGTCTCCGGTCGGGTCGCTTGTTTCGGGGTAAGGTGGCTGCAGTGGCGGCTGGGACCAGACCGTCCTCCGGCACCCTTCCGGAGAAGATCAGCCGCTATCCCATTCCTTACAAGAAGGACCTGCCTTATGATATAGTTGAGCTCATGGAGGAAGTGGAGTCAAAGGTTTTAAATTAAAACCAGCCTTTAGGTCTCGCGATCACACGCCTTTATCATTAATCTGCTCATATTTGTGCACAGGGAGGCTTCCTGCCAAATGTCTTCAAAGCCCTCTCCCACAGACCAGCTGAGTTCAGAGCCTTCTTCGCTTACTACAATGAACTGATGAACAAGGACACAGGTTGGTTTTTTCTGATGTAGTGGCCTCAGTTCAGATAAATACAGACACACGATGCAGTGTTTAGAATAAAAAGCAACCCGTTCTTCAGCACCTTCAACCCTCCCAACGTGTCCAAGCCAGGGTTCAGTGAACTAAACACTTCGTTCACTTCTTATTTGTGTTGCAAATAAGGATGTTTGTCCTGTGTTATGACTCAACAGGACTAGTGGATAACCTTTTGTAGAAGCTGTGATGCTGGATTTGTTCCAGCGGATGATCACGTGATGAAAGTGAAAAAAATTGTTAAATATATTTTCAATAAGTCAAGTTTAATTTGTGTCTCTACCTCTTTCTGTTTTTGCAGAACAATTGGGAGGAATGTGGATTTTGTATGTATTATGTTAACTAACTGAACATCTAAAGAAAACAGGTGACTCTTAAAGTTAGACTGCAAGTGTTAAACAGATGATCAAGCAGCTAACGTTTTTATTTTAACCCTCCCACTGTCTTTATGGGTGACCCTGCAAGGAAAGGGGTGAGGCGGTGCTCACTACTCACCCCTGCCACATGGATTCAAGGGATAAACCATCAACCCTGCTCAATGGTCTGTTTTCCTCGCGGGGTCACGCCTATTAGGACAGTGGGAGGGTTCAAAACACAAAACGACTCTTAAAGAGATTTTTCCCAAACCGTTCCAAACTCGACCAGGTACCTGAATCTTAGTATCAGCCATGCTCTGCTTATGATTTCAAGTTTCTCCTTCATATAGCCATCTAAGAAAAGTTCTTACAGGCTTTTATTTTAATCGAGTTAGTCATTAACTGAGGAGTGGAGACAGGAGATTATTGAGGAGTATAAAAAAAACTCCTCAAAGTCAAGATGCAAAACAACATGGAGGTTTAATCGCAGGGTAGGAGACCCGTGGCTTTAAGCAGAAGAATCAGATTGATGACAAACCCTGAACTGAACATGTTCTTTTATAGGTTCAGTATAAAATTCTCTCCTCTAACCTCCCTTGACCCACAGCTTCCCTGTCACACATCCGCCTGCTGCTGCAGCTTCATTATGAGATGCCAGTTTCCCTCTGGGATTAAATTTTTATTTGAATTAACCAAGCATCTGGAGGTTGCATTGTGGCACAGTTAGTAGAACTGTTGCTTGCAGCAAGGTGAGAGGGTACAGTCTTTCTGCACGGAGTTGGCACGCTCTCCTCGTGCATGTGTGGGTTTACTGGTAGAGTTTAGGCAACATCTCCCGAGGGAGGGGGGGAAGGGCGGGAAAGAGAGAAAGGCAATAAAACCCTTAATTCCTCAAGCCCTCAACAGAAATGTGCGTAGGTGACAACCAACGTAATGCTTTGTCCTTTTGTGCTGTTTATGTCTTCCAGGCGGGTTGACAAAAGCAGATCGTGAGCTGATCATCGTTGCAACAAGCAGTCACAACAAGTGTCTTTACTGTGTGGTTTCCCACAGCGCATTGCATCGTGTCTACTCAAAGAAACCAACACTCGCGGATCAGGTGAGAGTCTTAGGTCGTTTGTGTTCCACTTAAGAGCATTCATGAGACAGCTGGAGAGTGTTGATGGCCTTGGAAGGTGTACTCTGGGGGAAAAAAAGCTCTGGTGCATCTGGTTAACAAACTAGAAGATTGCCACATCAGAGGCCCAGTCCCAACACGGCATTCATGGCGGTTGATGTTTTGTAAAGAAAATGCAAACTTAGCGCTATAATAACCATTCTGTCCAATTTTGCTAAATAGTCTGTTTTTTATTTTATTTTCATTTATTTATTCATTTATTTATTTATTTTTTTAAACCCTTGTTGCATTTTTCACACTGTTGGACTTGTTTTATATCCTTTGGCTCTCAAGCATTGGGTTATCTTATTAAAGCTGAGGACAACATGTGTGTGCCTTACCTGGGTATGAAGTGTAATAAAACTGCCCAGCTGTGTGCAGCAGGTTTGCTTCTCTTCTAGAATAATAAAATCTGTTGAAAATCAGGTCTAAATCACAATCAGCTGTGAACTGAATGATGCACATTTGAACCGACGATGAGAGATGTGTCCAGCCTTATCCTATGAAAGTGAAGACGGAAGAGATCCTGTGGTAATGAGGCTACCCCAATGCTTGAGAGCCAACAGGTAAAGTCAGTCCAACAGTGTGATAAAAGCAACAAGATTTATTACAAGTACACATTTGATGTTTTTTATGAAAGAAATGGAAACCGGTTTGTTGCAAAAGAGGACAGAATGCTTTTATGGCGCTACGTTCACATTTTCTTCAAAAAAAAAAAACTCAAGACATAAATACCCTGTAGCAGGGAGACTGTTTGCTGTTGCATCAAATAGCCAATCGTAGGAGAGTCCTTTCAGCCAGTCAGAGGCGAGAAAGGCTGGACCTTCTTTGGACTTCGGCCCAAACTCGCACTGCTCTCTGCAGTCTTCAGCAAAGTGTACTTGGAGGAAGTGCACACTAAGGCTTTGAGTGTGTAGTATACAAGTGTGCAAATATTTGCCGAATTGGGACGGTGACTGTTGTGTCGTCGACCACGACGCGTGCCGGGATGCTGGTCGCTGTTTGTGCTACTTTAAAAATGTAACGTCCAAAAGGGTCCATTTTCATCTATATATTCACCAGCATGGTGACCTTTCATCTAAGCATTAATCCACTCTCTATTTGGCCTTCCAGAACCAGAAGGTTCTGTTCGGCGCGTGTTGACATTCCATGAAGACAAACATTCTCTCCTAAGGTCCTACACTCTCTGCATGAATGCCAGACGTAAACATTCTTCACCCTGAACAAGTGAAGTTTCCATGACTTTGACAACTCATGAGCTTACAGTAATCATATGTGATGAATGAACAAGATGTTTAAATGAAATGTTGGGATAATCTGTGCTTAAATCAATGAATTTGAAATGAATATTGTTCTTACAATGATCCATTTGTATCACAAATCAGTATGTTTGATTTAACAAGTTAATCATTATCTACACTCATACGCATCTTTATAAGATACAAATTAAGGTTAAGGTTCACCTCACATAAGTGTTTTAAGCCATTCTTATTCGCAGTATTAAGAATTTTGTATCTGAAGGAGGGCGTGGCTTTCTGAGGATGTTGGTAAATACCCAGAAACATGTGAAATTCTGATTCTCCAAACGTGGCCAGAAATCATAACACAGTGCTTTAATAAAACAGTATTTACTTCCCGATTAATTCCGTTGCCAGCTGAACCCCAATTCGGCCAAATCGGGAAAGAAGCATCTCTTTTGAAACAATCTCCTTTGACCTCTTGTCAAAGCCTCTCTGCAACGCTGCGGCTGATACCAGACAACCGGTTCTCTTAAGAGCCAAGCAAACATCTGCCTTAGACGCAAATAAGCATTCTAGCTTTTGGCCTTCACCTCGAGGGATCTCAAAACTGGATGGGTCTTATCAGAGCTATCTACGGGTTCCTGATATCAGAGCTCAGTCCACCGGCAGTGACCATCGACCCCCCGGATCGAACTAAAACCTCCACACCAAGGGTGCGTAGACTTGGCACGACAGATTGCATCTGATGCTGTTTTTAACAAACAACTCTCTAGAACCAATTAATTTCAAAATGAATTTAATTCCTTTTCCTAAACTAATAATTTAAACATGACAAGATATGAATAATGTTTACATAAGAGAATGTTTGTTTGAATGTGTTGTCTTCATTGAATGTCAACACGCGGTAAACAGAACCTTCTGGTTCTGGAAGGCCAAATAGAAAGTGGATTTATGATGTAGATGAAAGGTTATTATGCTGGTCAATCTATAGGTGAAAATTGACCCTTTTGGACGTTCCAAAAAATACCTTCATTAACAACTTTCAAACAAAATAAATTCACATTAATTTCTGTTCACAATTATTCTTAGTCTAAAACATTCAGAGCATGAAAAAATATCATTAAATGTTTTAACATCGACTTCTTTTGTTTGAAAATACATATTTTCAGAAAAGGAACTCAAGCGGTTGTTCCTTCTTCTCATAATTCCCACTCAGCAGTGGATTGTGGGTAATACCCTTCGCTCAATTCCACATTGATGCAGACTTGGGGAAAGTGCAGATCAAGGATGCAGAAAGGGCGTGGTCAGCATTTGCACTTGAGGACCGGGACACCCTATACTCTCGCACATCTGGCCTGGAAGGCACAATTAAAGGGTGCAAGTGTGGAAGTGTGAGTATTGGAATTGGGCCATCCTACGATTCCAAACTACACTTAATTACCAGTCTTGGTGACTCGGTGGGGATCTCTGGAATTGTTCTAGACTGGTTTAGATTGTACCTTTCTAACAGAAGTTACAGTGTCTGTATAAACCAAATCATGTCAGATTCTACTGATCTGTTCTATGGGGTACCCCAAGGCTCTGTTTTGGTTCCACAGTTGTTTCTACTGCACATATACCCTCTTGGACAGATACTTGATTCTTTTCATAATGTCTCTTATCACCTATAAGCAGATGACATTCAGCTGTACTGCTCCTTTAATGATTCTGAGTTCTATAAACTGTCTGAATTACTAGAGTGTCTATCAGCTATCACCAGCTGGCTAGAAGATAACTTCCTTCTGTTAAACTCTGAAAAGACTGAATGTCTGATCACTGCCCCTGAGAGCATGGCTCCCATGATTAGTCTAAAACTTGGTCATTTATCCTCTGCCGTCGAGACAAACTTAAGAAATTTGGGTGTTATTTTTGATCAATCAATGTCTCTTGAAGGCCACTCAAAAATGTTGGTCCAAAACTGTTGTTATCATTTAAGAAATATCTCCAAACTGCGAAGGTTGGTGTCAAAACATGAACTTGAAATGGTTATCCATGCCTTTATCTCCTCCAGTCTAGATTACTGTAACACACTCTTCACATGTTTTAACAACAAAGCCCTTGGCCGCCTTCAGTTGGTCCAGAACTCTGCAGCGAGGTTTCTAACTTGAACAAACAGAAGAGCTCACATCACTCCTATTCTAATGTCTCTGCACTGGTTACCCGTTAACTTTAGAGTTCATTTTAGAATCCTGATTATAACTTTCAGGGCTCTACATGGTCAAGCTTCTCCCTTTATTACTGAACCGTTAAAGCCTTATGCTCCAACCCGAGCCCTCAGGTCCACACACCAGAACCTTCCAGAAGTTCCAAAGACCAGATATAAAAGTCGAGGTGATCGCTCCTTCCCGACTGTTGCACCCCGACTCTGGAATGATCTTCCTTTATCCTTACGCAGCATTGACAGTCTGGACACTTTTAAAAAACAGCTAAAGACCCTTTTATTTAAAGCTGCTTTTAACTAAACCTTTTCTTTTCTTATTTTTAACTCAAATTTTTAATCTTTCATCTGTTTATGAAAATTTATAATTTTATGACTTTATTTTTTCTGATGTTAATCTTAATTCTGTTTCAAGAGCATTTTGATTTTATGATCTTAATCTATTTATGATTTTATGGCTTTGTTTTATTTTGTTTTGATCCATGTGAAGCGCTTTGTGATTCTATGTCTGTGATAAGTGCTATATAAATAAAATGTACTTACTTACTTACTTCCTAACCCTAACCTGCTAAACCAAAAACAGTCTTCCTCATCGCAAGTCAAGATGGGTGAGTCCGTGAACGTTAAAGGACCGTGTGAGGTAGATCTGTCGTGATTTTCAAATCCTAAAGTTTTACCATCTGTTTTCTATCAGAAACTATAGGAGATAGATGTAGGAGACTATTTTCCTGTTCAACCTGTCCTCACTGTGATGCACCAGATCCAGCCAACTGATGGTGTATGCTCTTAAGAGTACCCTGATCAATGAGAAACTATGCATTTGTAGTTTTTATTGACCCTCTGATGCTGTGTCCAGAGATTTTGTGTTTTTGTTCCCTTTATGCTTTTATTTTGAGGAGACTCTCTCAAAAAAAAAATCTTGGTCACACTTCCTCCTTGCTTTGTCCAGGATACCATATAGCAGCTCCTCTGCTTTTATAGCAGCTCTGCCTGTTTATGTTTTCTTCATGAGTTTGGTTTGTGTTTTTAATGTATTAAAAACCAACATCTGAATGGTTCTAGAAGTTCGTTACATTTCCTACCTGAAACAGGCCTAAACATTTGTCTCAGTTTCATATTCAGATTCACTTTGAAAGTTCTCAGAGTTTCATGGGTTGTTTTCTTATCCAGGTTTCTCCTTCAAGTGTTCTGAAATGCGACTTGATGGTTTTGAATAATGTTGTTTACTAACTAATTTGGTAGGAGCAACTGTCCTCAGTTGTTATAATGTTTCACCTCCCAGACACTCGCTGGCCTTGGATCAGCACTGATCCAGACATCCTTTCCTCTCTTCTAGGTCATCGTTAACTATCAGATCGCAGACCTTACGCCTCGGGAACGAGCCATGCTGGACTTTGCGATGGCTGTGTGTCGCTGTGACACCATCACAGATGAGCACTTCCTGTCCCTGGAGGAAGTGGGCTTTGACCGGGAGGATGCCTGGGATATCGCCGCCATTGCAGCTTTCTTTGCCATGTCTAACCGGCTCGCCCACCTCACCGACATGAAGCCAAACCTAGAATTCTTTAATATGGGCCGCGTGCCACGCGACAAAAGCAAGAACACGACTGACATGTGAAAATCATCAGTAGTAGTTGTCATCCTACACCATGTGTTCACTCTAAAGCTGGTTTCTGCCTCCCCCTGCGTACCTAGTGACACGAGGAGGAATCGGTAAGGTCCACGAGCCTTTAGGAAATTCAAAATAAACATTAAAGCTGTTCCGAGATCAGATTTGAGGTTCTAAAATGGCTCAGAGGCAATATTAGAACTATTACCAGCAAATGTCAATATTCTAAGATGTTTTTATGGCAATCAGGATTATCTATGTGGCCTCATTTCTGAACATAAAGACTTAAGATTGAGCTTTTTGTTGAACATTTGATGCAAAAACACCTTTTACTTGTGTAGCTTTGAACACTTTGGTGAAGGATGAATGTTAAATGTGTGGTTGAATGAAAAAGCATTTTTAAATTATTATTTCTGATTTAATAAGTCATTCTGAGTTTTTCATGGAGGCAGAACATGAAAATGGTCTTTAAAACATACCTCCTGCATTGGCTTCTGAGAGAAAATAGGTGGTGAAACTCTAGGATCTGTAAATCCTCACAGATCTACGTCACCCTGTGAATTAGAATTCACGGACTCACTGATCTTGACTCGTGACTGGGAAGGCTGCTGTTGTTTTAACGTTTGGGAATCAGTAGAGGACGTCTTGGCTAGTTTAAGCTAACTATTAGCATTAGAAATGCTACCACACAGCAGAAACTCTTCCAGGCTTGTGTTTGTGGGAATAAAAACATCCATGTTGCACGTCAGCGGTAGAGTCGTGTTGCTGATATCCAATCTGGGTCGAGATGTCCAAATTTCGTCACCACCCTTTCCTTATTCTGCTCTTTCCTATTCATTTTCTCTCTCCCTTTCCTTACATTATTATGTTTTAATCACAATGTTTATTTTTCTAATTTTAAACCTATTTTTAAAAATCTTTTTTATACCTTTATTTTTTGGTTTATGTGAAGCTTTCTTTCTTTCTTTCTTTCTTTCTTTCTTTCTTTCTTTCTTTCTTTCTTTCTTTCTTTCTTTCTTTCTTTCTTTCTTTCTTTCTTTCTTTCTTTCTTTCTTTCTTTCTTCAGGAAATAAGACTCCAAAACTTGCCATCTATATCTGTTTTCTATAATGCAATCTAGAATTTTCTTTTTTATTTGACCATAAAAAAGTTTTTCTGTTGAAGCTTCATAAAATAAAACTCTTAACTTGTCTTTGAGTTTTCATTTCTCATCCATAAAAGCATAAAAAGTTGTTTTTCACAGCAAAATGTAAAGTTCGAATCCTAACCCCTTTCACAAGTCTTGTGTTAATTATAAGAATCTAAAAAAGATTCTAAATGACCTTTATTCTGTATTTTATGGGCCATTCCCATCTGTACCGGGTCGGCCCGGGCCGGGTAGCCCCAGTCGGCCCCAGCCTGGCCCGGTTGATTCCACACATCCTTGCCTTAAGCCCACGTGGGCTGATTCTACCCACCAATCAGAGGCTTGCTCTAATGGAAGGTGTGAATTTGCTGTCAGCAGTGGGTGTGTTGGCCCTGGTCGGCCTGAAGCAGACACCCTCGAGAAGAGGGCTGAGAATGAGCCTTGGTTGGCCTGGAAGAATACCAGGCCACTAGATATGTAAACAACCTACGCTAACCGGCCCGGGCCGACCCGGTACAGATGGGAATGGCCCATTAGACTGTTTCCATGTGCTGGTAAAGTGTGGATTCCCACCAGATGGTGCTAAAGCTACACAACCTAGCACTGAATAAATAAATAAAATATTTATACATTCTTTAATCAGAGCTGCAGATGAAAGAGGAGCTGACCGATATAACTTCACACAGAGAAAAAAATAATCAGTTCCCAGGATTCTAATTTGTTTTTGAGTTTATTCACTTTATGAAAAAGGAACACGCAGAACTTGTTACAGAGCAGCATTTTCAGTCCCTGATCTCAGATCTGTGTTAAACGGTTTCTCAAAATCTAACATCGGTCATGTCTGCAGGCTTCAGCAGAGGACTTCTTTTGGTGAGCTGAACAGAACTGATGTCAGGTCAGTTCAAAAAATAAATGCTACATTTTTAATCAAATTTATCCAACCCATTACCAAATTATTCAAGTACAATGAAAAGTACGAAGCATTAAAGCAAGAGCTCCTTTAGGTGAGTAGCTGGTGTGTTGGGTGAAACTGCTCTTGTTTTGTTGCATTGTTACGTCCTCTGCTGGTGGAAAAGGAGAAGGACGGGGAGTAACACAGAGGCGTGTGTTTCAGGTGTTAAAGTAGTAAACAATGGTTTTTATTAAAGGATTTTAAAATGACAAAAAGCTCCAAATCTAAAAGTACTTTAAATACACTGTTACAATGGCCAAGGGTTTACGTTTAAAACAGACATCCGAATGCTCCCAAACATTCACAAAACAAAGCAGCCGCTGTAGCATACAGCTACATCATCAGACCTCCTGACCTTCATGTCTCTGCTAAAAGGAGAAAACAGAGCAGGAGCTCTGCTCACTGAGGTTGTGACGTCATAGAAGAAGAATCCTCTGATGAGTTTAAACTTTCTCCATCAGGCTTTCATTTACTCCCCATAACGTTTAGACTCTGTTGCTGCTTTAAGCCCTAGAAAACAACAACAAGCTGACACAGATTTATATTCATGTACTGGCGTGAAATCGGTAGACTTTCTTTGTGCATTTTTCAGTAGAGCCACCTCTCTCCGCTGGAGGAGAGGTGAAGTTTCCTCACATTTTTCATTCCTCCAGGAAACCTGTCCACCTTCATTTAAATAACTTTGAATGCTGCCGGATCAGTCATTTATTTTTCAAACACACAGAGGAGAGAGGAGGAGGCTCAAAATGAAAGAAGGAAAACCAATTTAAATTTGTTTTTCCAGTCTCTGAGTCTAGTTCCCTGTTTTTTGCTATTGTTGGTGGTGGAACACACACTTCATGGTTTTCCTACAATTTCTATTTCTTATTGCTTCAAAGCATCTTCACAGCTCAGCTGAATGAGGGCACAAGATAATCAGGTTTGATTCCAGATTAGTAATGAAAACTGAAGCATTGTAATGAAAATGTGTTTAACTGAAAATAGTAAAATTGCTGTAATATTTCAGGAAGGCTTGATGAATGTTGATCATAAAAATCACCCACATCATGCTGATTCTACAGTTTTCAACTGGTTACCTCTGAGAGATGCTTTTTGGGATTCATGGAGGCGGATGTAGACAGAAGGGATGAGCTCTAACCAGGCGGGAGCACATGGGATATTAATGAGTGGGAGCAGACATGGATGAGAGCATTTTAATCTCCGTAAAGAACTTGTCAGTTACTGTTAAGAAAATGTCTTCAGTTGTCTGAACAGATGACAATATAGTTGAACCTTAATGGAGCAATACGTAAGAGAAATAATCACAAAAAAGTTCTACGTCTCAATCGTGCTGGAATGAAGGTTACTGTAGCGTTAGGAAGTTTATAATGGTCTGCCCTTAACAGCTGCCCCTTCACACCGTAACATCGCCAAGGTCGGACGCTTGGTTCAGTATGTTTACATTCCAGGAGAAGAGACAGAAGAACAGAAGAAGAACGCTTTTCATTGATTAATCAAAGTACTTTATTTGTGATAAGCTAATCAAAGCATTTGTTGATCATTAATAATCAGGTGAATGATCTGTGAAATAAAGATGTCATGAGTTATGTGTTTAAATGAATAAACAGGGCTGTACCAGACACACTGATATGCATTACCATGGAAACGCATGACACATTGATTTCAACCAATCAAAACTTTCGTCTGTGGTAGGGCAGAATCTGGTTTGTTTATGAAAGTAGTCCAATCCGGTTTACTAAGATTCTCAAACAACTGGGAGATATAAAAAGAAGGCAACGCCATTTTAAGTCAGTTCCACGTTAAGTTCCACGTTGACATCAGCTCTGCTCGATCCGAGCTCCAAGGAGTTACATCATACTCTCAACATTGTTTTCAACCAGCTCTCAACCCATCACCGCAAAGAGGAATACAGGCTGGCCATCTGTATTTCCTGTTTTAAGCTGAGATCTGTCAAGCTGAAGATTTCTGTCGTTTGTACCTACGAGACAACCTTCTTTCAAAATAAGAGTGAACTTGCTGACGCCTGCCAACCACTAACGGAGTTATCCTCAGACGGGCGTTGTGTGCTGTGACCGCTGTTTCACCAGCTCCAGTACAACCGAGGTCTTGGAACCTGGCAACTCCTGATCTACACGGGAGACTCCATCTAAGGTACGGCAATATGGCGGCTCATGTCATCAGCTTCTGAAGCCTCGTGGTAGCCTAGTCATAACAAACCAGACTCGCTACATCAGCCTAGAGATTCTGAACAAAACACACACACACACACCAACACGAAACATCGAAATCCGTATGCATTCATCATTGAGATAGTCCTGGTAGATTGTAAGAATTTATAATTATAGAAATTAAAGATTCTTAAACGATCCCAACTCACTCTCTCTTTCTTGTCTCTCAGTCAATACAAAGTGTTTAAGTAAACTCCCTGATGATAAAAACGACCTCTTCTGATTGATTACTTAGATTGTATAAATATACAAAATCAGGTAATTAAATTATCTAATTACAGTATATAAATATACAAACTTCCAATCACAACATTACATTGAAACTGGTTTCCTTCTCAGTTTAGGGGGTTGTCAGTTTTTCTCCCTTCAAAAAAGCTTAAGAGGGACAAAGTTTTTGTGAGGCTGCAAGTTTGCTGAGCCTGCGCCAAGCTAACGCTGTAGCATCGGCATTTGTAATTCAACACCGGCAGGTAAAAAGCTCTAGCACATACATCTAGACAGACTGTAGCAGAAGCAATAGACTTTTGCTCTGCAGGTCAGTTTAGCTACACTTGAGTAGAGCCTCAGCAGGCCTGAGAGGGTGTATGACGTTCATTCTTATAAAGCCTGATTTATACTTCTCCGTCTGCGTCGGTGCGGAGACGCAACGCCATTATGCGTCGGTGCAAGGGCTCTCCGACAGGCTCACAGAGGGTGATGAGGATACGCCCAAATTTTTAAACATCCATTGAAAGTGACGGAGACCACAAGCTTGTGACTGGTCAGGATGCCGCTTCCTGTAAATTTGTCGTTGTCGTCTTCCTCCGCTTATCCGGGTCCGGGTTTATTTTTGGATTTTACAAAGCCTTCGACAAATTTGAACATCACTGTCTTTTTAAAGTCCTTCATCTACAGGTGCTGGCCAGTAAATTAGAATATCATCAAAAGGTTGAAAATATTTCAGTAATTCCATTCAAAACGTGAAACTTGTACATTATATTCATGCAATGCACACAGACCAATGTATTTCCAATGTTCATTACATTTAAATTTGATATTCATAAGTGACAACTAATGAAAACTCCAAATTTGGTATCTCAAAAAATTAGAATATTCTGAAAAGGCTGAATATAGAAGACACCTGCTGCCACTCTAATCAGCTGATTTACTCAAAACACCTGCAAAGGCCTTTAAAAGGTCCCTCAGTCTTGTTTTGAAGGCACCACAATCATGGGGAAGACTTCTGACTTAACAGCTGTCCAAAAGACAATCATTGACACCTTGCACAAGGAGGGCAAGACACAAAAGGTGATTGCTAAAGAAGCTGGCTGTTCGCAGAGCTCTGTGTCCAAGCACATTAACAGACAGGCGAAGGGACGGAAAAAATGTGGTAGAAAAAAGTGTACAAGCTCTAGGGATAACCGCACCCTGCAGAGAATTGTGACGACAAACCCATTCAAAAATGTGGGGGAGATCCACAAAGAGTGGACTGCAGCTGGAGTCAGCGCTTCAAGAACCACCACGAGGAGACTCATGAAAGACATGGGATTCAGGTGTCGCATTCCGTGTGTCAAGCCACTCTTGAACAAGAAACAGCGCAAGAAGCGTCTCGCCTGGGCCAAGGACAAAAAGGACTGGACTGATGCTGAGTGGTCCAAAGTTATGTTTTCTGATGAAAGCAAGTTCTGCATTTCCTTTGGAAATCAAGGACCCAGAGTCTGGAGGAAGAGCGGAGAAGCACAGAATCCACGTTGCATGAGGTCCAGTGTAAAGTTTCCACCGTCAGTGATGGTGTGGGGTGCCATGTCATCTGCCGGTGTTGGCCCACTCTGTTTCCTGAGGTCCAGGGTCAATGCAGCCGTCTACCAGGAAGTTTTAGAGCACTTCATGCTTCCTGCTGCTGACC